AAGACAATTTCCTCAAAAGATGAAAGTGACAACCACTTACAAATAATTGATTGGCCATTGAATCATACGACAAGATTTCACTACAAGATTTCAAGGGTTTGAAGACTTCAAGAGAAATATAAATAGACATCATGTGTTAGTAGAAGAAGCAAGCAGAAATATTCATTTTCTAAAAAATGTTCATCCTATGTCTAAAAAATCTCCAAGAGTCTCTCTTTCTACTAGCAGATGTTCAAAGTCTCTAGATTTTCAGATAATTCTTTCTCCAGATGTATGTACTGATTGTAATTCAAGCTTAGTTTAAGAAGGTATTATCTAAAATATTTATTCAATTGTTGTATTGCTTTTATTTCTTCATGATAGTTTCATTTCAAGGGTTGTAATAGAGATTAAAAATACCAAAGATGGAAACCAATAACATGAAACTAGCTTCAATAAAGTTTGCTCTACACAAATTAAAATACAAAAAGGTTAAAAATAGTTTTTATCTATATCGATATCTTTACTCAAAAATATTTGATAATTGTGCTGCCAAAAAGGGCTCCCAACTTATCGTAGCCAATTTAAATGCTCAAAAATATTATTTTAAAAAAAATTAACTGAATCAATCAATATTGCAGACATTATGATTGACCGGCTTAATAAAAAGGAAAATTGATTTATTAAGATAATTATCTTTTCGTTTTGTTCATATGGTTTTGTTCATATTTAGATAATTTTTTTTTGTTGTACATATTTAGATAAAGAAGTTGTAGGAAATGTTTAATATCATCCTTACCACCGATTATATATTAACATTTTGATGTGAACAAAATGAAACGAAAAGTGATTGGTTAATTTCCTAAAAACTATAAGTTAACTCCTTTCCTCCTCACTGCATGATCTGCATCGTGTATGTCTATCAATTGACAGTGGACTCCATTATACCATCTGTTATAATTATATCATATCAACAAGATAATATAATACAAGAATTTCATCTACTACAAAGTACAAATGATCTAACCTACACTTGGAATTTTGAAATATAGGCCTCAGAAACAGAAGCTCCAGAAGAATGGGTTAATAAAAGAAAGATGACAGGTTCGAGTTTTGAACTATTTCTGGGATTGACCGATAGAACAAAGCTCAATTGATCCATAATGAAGTAATTCCTCGATCATTTGTTCAATATGATGATCTTCAAGTGTCGCAAAGAACTGCTGCTGCTGATGTTGATGATGTTGAGAATGGAATTGAAGAACGCTGTTATGCTCCATCGCCGGTTGCTGGTGTTGCATAACCACCGTCGGTTTCGTCTCCGGCGACGATTCACCAATATGGGTCGAACCCATTCGCTTCTGGTTCATCATTTTCTGTTGTTGTTGTTGGATTGATGGTTTGCTCATTTGAAGTGAAGCCATGTAGCATCTATGGAGTTTTGCTGTCAAAGTAGCAGAGAGAAGCTTCGAAGAAGAAGATTGTGACAAACTGGGGTTGTATGGGAAGTTGGTTCTTGCTCTTGGTCCACACATGAGCCTCGCCGCCTCGTCGTATGCTCGGGCGGCGTCCTCCGCCGTCTCAAATGTCCCTAGCCAAATTCTCGTCTTCCTGTTCGGAAAAAAGAAAAACAGAGTATCTCACCGGTGAATACAGGCGTAATGTACAGCTTATGATGCATAAAGTACAAGTTTAAAAGAAAAAAAGATTGTGTAATCGGCATTGTTGGAAAGTAAACTTACAGTAAAGGATGACGGATTTCGGAGACCCAAGAACCCCAATGCCTTTGCCGGACACCGCGGTATCGTTGTTGTGGTCTAGCCATGTGCGTAGAAGGTGTTTGTTAAAATGCGTCAGTGAAGTCAAATGCTTTAAATGAAGAAGATGTTAGATGGTAGATTTGCTTGTGTCACGAAAGGGAGGGAAGGAGTAATGGAGGGTGAGATGAGGGGTTTATAAGAGGGTAGTGAATGGGCTTTTTTTATTATTTTAAATACCAATATATTATATTATGTGACACATTTGTTGCCATTAAATCATATGATGCATAGAGAATATATTTTCCACAAAAACCAAACGGACTTCATAATTAAAAAAAATAAAATGAACATGGCTTCTAAGTAATAGTATATCTCAATACGCTTTTTACTTATGTTGTTCTTTTTCCTAGGTTTGATAAGTATTAGATTTAATTTGGTCTCATTCAAATTGTTTGATATTATAGCTAGAAGTTTTTTATTGGGTTCATATATGTTTAGTTCGATCAAATATAACTCAATCAACAACTATTAAATAATTATAGTTTTTTAAAACCTTTATATACTATTTATTGCGAACAAAATTTGTGTTCCTATAAAGTTATAAATAATAATACATTACACTTTAGAATAAGGAAGAAGGTTTTTTTTTTTTTTTTTTTTTTTTTTAACATTATACATTTTAATAATTTATTAAAAATGGTTCGTTCTTGTAAAAATATGGTAAAAATAACATAAATACAATGTTGATTTTTTTTCCAAAAGGTTTGAATCATAATTTTTTTTTGGTTATGGCCTCCTGGCAACCAAAGAGTGGGGTCATTTAAGAGTGTTGACAAGAAATAGGCAAATGACTTAGTTTACTTTATCTGTTGTTTAACAGTTGGCTAATTGACATGATTAGTTGAATAGATTATGATTATATTACATTTTTTTAATATTACATTAAAAAAACAAAAACAAAGTGACTAAATTCAATTCACAATACTTCCTTCATTATATATATTTCCAATAGGACAAAACTCACTGTGTCAAAATATATAACCTTTTCTTTGTCGTAAAAGATACAAGGTTAATTGTTTTTTTGACCAATACAAACATTAATTAGTTACTTTAATAATCTTTCCTTTAAATAAAAGAAAGTTATTTATACATAACAATTTTTTGTTATACATAACAATTCATGATATAAAAAGTTGTATATATACAAATTGTATAATTCTTTAAAACAAAAAATTTTGTATATGAAAAAAAGATGTTTACAGATCATTTCCCTTAAACAAAACATTAGTAAGAGAGTTATTGACTAGAATAAATAGGCCTTTTTCTAATAAGAGAACCACTTTCTAAAAATTTTTAATTCAAATTTACCTTTAAAACTGTAAAGAAATAAACAGTAGTTATATTTTTCGGTAAATATTACCTCGTGGGGTATTTGTGATGCTCATATAACTCACAAAGTGTAATTTTTCGAATAAAGAGTGAACTATTTGTAATTCTTTAATTAAAAAAGACCATGATATCTATTTTTTAAACTTTCTTTAGATATGTCTAATAGCAATGTTTTAAAAAAGAGGTTTTTTAGTTAAACTGATATGATAATCTGTTTTAAGTTCAACCAGTTTAACCGCCGGCTCAACCGGTTTCTATAATTTTCATTTTTTTTTCTATTACTCTACACATACATACAAACATAAATCAAGAATTTGACGTACATAAGTTCAAACATTAAAAATACACATAAAAACAAGTTGTAGTTCAATCAAAATACACTAAAATAACACATAACCATTAGTTTTATATCAATCCACATATATCAAAAGGAAAATAAAATATAATACCAAAACAAATATTGTTTTAAATGAATACAAACGTAAAAAAAAAGTTCATAACATTTGCCATACGTTTTATTTAAATAAATCTGAATAGATGTGAAAAAATCACCAAAGTTTATTATGCAAAATAGTTCTTTTCCATTGTTTTTACTCAATTTAACAGGTTCAACCGGGTTTTTGTAGAAAACTAGCCGATTCATTCCAGTTTAGAAATAGACATAAAACTGGTGATAGTTGAACCCATCCCTTTCCCGGTTTTCAGTCCAACTGGTTCAAACTGGTTTTTTTAAAACATTGCCCAAGAGTATTTGTTAGCATATCATATATTATCCATATATAGCCCATCTCGTGATAGCCCGTGTACTTGTATATTTCTAGGGTTCAGACCTAATATCTTTGTATATGTACCCCTTGTTGTACACTTTTACGTAATGAGAATCATACTAATCTATATGGTATCAGAGTTTTATTCAAACTCTCTATAATTTTGTCTCTTTCCTTCTACACTTCCGCTCTTTCCCTCTCTTCCTATCGTCTTCTTCCTCTATCTTTACCCTAATGACTGGTGGAGAAGCTTCACAACCATCATCTCCATTGACAACAAAAACCTATGTTGTCAACAACATCAATACCTATGTTCCATTGATTCTTGACCTGGACACACACAATTATAATCCATGGAGTGACTTATTCATAGCCCACTGCATTGCATTCGAAGTTCTTGATCATTTTGACAACACCTACGATGCATCAAAGTCCACTCCCGAAGACCCGCAGTGGCAGAAACTCGATCAACTTGTCAATCTCTGGTTATTTGGGTTAATGTCCCAATGTTTAATCACTTCTATTTACACTGTTGATGCCAATTCCCATCGTATATGGTTAAACATTGAGGCTCGTTTTGCCAAAACAATGACTCCATAACAATGCAACTTGAGAGTGAACTACACACCAACACCATGGGAGATATGTCTATTCATGCATACTTTGACAAGATCAAGAAAATCTTAGACTTACTTGAGGGCATTGGTGAAAAATTTAAGAAGAAACATATTGTAATTCATGTTATTAATGGTCTATCAAGCAAGTATGATTTACATGTAGGCTTCATACGCTACACCAAGCCCATTCCCTCTTTTAATGAAGCTCGATTCATGCTTCTTGTTGAAGAACAACCACTCCAATCTCATTGAATTCCTTCTCCCTCTCATGACAACCAATCTTCCCCTCCCCAACTTTTAAATGTCAACAACAATAATTTATCTTAGAGGGGTGGGCGAAACTTTGACTAGCGACACAAATCTCACGGCCACAGTCAGAACTCCAATCGTCAACGTGTGCCACCCACATCCGCTCTTGGATAGCCGAACATCGGACCTGCTGTCGGAAACCAGCGCTTCGGCTGGATTTTTGTTCCTCCGGCATTGTTTGTACAATCGACGCAATGGCCTCCATCGACGTTTTCTTAATCCTCTACGTGGACTCCTCAACAATAGCAACTTCATCCCACATCATCTTGGACCAGGCCCATGTCTAATTCCTCATCTGGGCTTCTGGGATTGAGACCTCAATATGCCCCTTTCTCTCAACTGCATACAAGCCCACAAGCATTTCAGGCCATCACTATTAAGCTTTCATGGTCCTGGCTTGGCGGCCCAGATCAGCCCACTTCTCTCCCGAATTTGTTCAGTTCCATGACAATTCAAGACCTACAAAATGGAGGGTGGGTTATGGACACCGGTGCCACCGATCATGTCCATGTGGACGCATGTATACTCCAAAATAATTATAATAATGCATTTAGTCCTCGTTCTATTGTTGTCGGTAACGATTATGCAATTCCGGTTACGACCTCGGGACACACTACATTCCTTATCCCAATCCATATCGACCACTACATTTAAAAAGTGTCCTAATAACCCCAAATATCATCAAAAATCTCATATATGTTCGAAAATTTACTACTCAAAATAATTGCTCTATTGACTTTGATCCGTTTGGTTTTACTGTTCTTGATTATCAGACATGTCGACCTCTCATTCATTATGATAGCTTCGGTCCTCTATACCATGTAGCATCTTCCACTAGTCATGCACTCATCTCCACCACTTCTTTCATGTGGCACTAGCGACTTGGTCACCCCGACGATCAAGTCTTGCAACATTTATTTTCTAGTAGTTATATTTCTGGTACTTCTTCCAAGAATAATGTTATATGTCAAGCTTGTCAACTTGGCAAACACACTAGACTTCCATTATTTGTTTGATTCTGTTTGTTCCAAACCTTTTGACATTATTCATTATGATGTATGGACTTCTGTTGTTTCTAGTTTAGGTGGTTTAAACTATTATATTCTATTTCTTGATCATTATACTCATTATCTTTGGGTTTATCCTCCTCTTAAACAAAAACCTTAAGAATTTCAAAATTTTCTTCATTTTTCCAATCTTATTCACACTCAGTTTGGGGGAAAAATTAAACAATTTCAATGTGACAACGGGCGGGAATATGACAATAAAGTATTTCACCATCATTTTTCTTCCAATGGAATCACATTTCGTTTCTTGTGCCCTCACACTTCTGAACAAAATGGGAGGACCGAACGACTGATACACACCATTAATAACATGGTCCGCACCTTACTTTTCCACTCACATCTCCCATCCATGTTTTGGCCAGAAGCTCTCAACAAGGGCCACTCATATTCTTAATATTCTTCCATGAGTGTCCATATCTAACGACACACCTCACTACCGCTTAGTTCACTATCACGATACATATGATCATCATCGTGTGTTCGGATGTCTTTGTTTCCCCGGCCTTCACATAATTCATAAACTCTAATAACGGACCACCCCATGCATATTCCTCACGATAGGTTGTCACACCCCCAAACCGGAACGACGTAAACGTTCGGGGGCGGAGGACGTCATATGTAGTATCACAACACATGCATCATAGTAATCAAAGTAACAAACAACCATTGCATTAATATTAAAGTGTTTACAAAGTATGTGGTTCACAAAAGGTTAACTTCAAGTAAATAACAAAACAAGTCATGAAGCTACTATGCTCCATCTTCTGAATTCCAGTGCGCGTACCTGTCTACTAGTCTCCTGAGAATACAAGTTATTTTGAAAGAGTAGATCAGCATTTAAGATGGTGAGTTCATAAGTATTTTAGTGATGAAACTAAGTTGTAAGTTCTTTTTAGAAAAGTTTGTCTTTTCCTCCATAAATTCCTATATCTTCTGATGTGATGAAAGATAAGTAAAAATGACTCTACAATTCCTTCAATGAGTACTAAATGGATGAATGTTATATACAATTTAGAGTAAACAGACAATCGATTGTGTGAA